TTATTTATTTAATTTTTGTATTTCCTAATTTATCATGCATTTAATAAAATTTCAATTAATTTTAAAAACATACTGTACTCATTTATCATGTTTTTCAATATATTATTTTTACCAAAATTTTTATGCGTGATGTGAACCTCACTTAAAATCCCTTGAAATGAGAGCTTTGTCAATAACTATTGAAAGTCAGTAATCATGTCCAGCAAAGTAAGACAAAACTTTCATCAGGACTCTGAGGCCGGTATTAACAAACAGATTAATCTGGAACTACACGCCAGCTATGTATACGAACAACTGGTATGACTTCCCCTCTCATTATACCCATTCATACAGAATATTCTGTGATACACAGAATCTGTGTAAACATCAACACTTTATAAGACTTAAAATTAACTAGCATATTTATGTTTGCCACTCATAGGCCTGGTATTTCAACCGGGATGACGTAGCGCTTCAAGGTTTTAGCGACTTTTTCAAGGGAAGGGCTGATGAGGAGAGAGGTCACGCCAGGAAGTTCATGGAGTACCAGAATAAACGGGGCGGTCGTATCGTATTGCAGGACATCACCAAACCGGCCAAACAGGACGGGTGGTAGGCCGGGATTAATAAACAGATTAATCTGGAACTACACGCCAGCTATGTATACGAACAACTGGTATGACTTCCCCTCTCATTATGCATTTCATACATAATATTCTGTAATACACAGAATATGTAATAGCCTCAACCTCTATAAGACTTACATTATATGAACAAGCATATTTATTTTTGCCACCCATAGGCCTGGTATTTCAATCGCGATGACGTAGCCCTTCAAGGCTTCAGCGACTTCTTTAAGGGAAGGGCTGATGAGGAGAGGGGTCACGCGAGGAAGTTCATGGACTACCAGAACAAACGGGGCGGTCGTATCGTATTGCAGGACATCACCAAACCGGCCAAACAGGACGGGTGGACACCGTTGGAGGCCATCGAAGCCTCCCTACAGTTGGAGCGCACCGTCAATCAGGCGCTTCTGGACCTCCAGGGCGTCGGCAACCGGACTAACGATCCGGAGTTCACGGACTTCATTGAAAGTGAGTTCCTTCACGAACAGGTGGACGACATCAAGAAACTGGGCGATCACGTGACTAACTTGAAACGGGTGGGCACTGGTCTCGGGGAGTACCTCTTTGACAAAAACACCCTGAACTAAAATGTATACGCATAGCTCGTATGCAGTATTCACTTGTTTTGTGTTTAATAAAAATTAATACAGTATTGAGTGGATATGGACTGCCGTTTGTTAAAAAAAACCTAAGTAAAAATGTTAGCAAACTGTAACTCTAGCACAAACACATATAAACATATACTGTTTAGTACAATGTTTTGAATCATAAACAACAAAATCACATTTATTTATTGTGTTTATTTGTAAATTGTGTTTTTATTATAAAAATAAATATAATTTGTGTTTCAATAAATATATTAGTAAAATATGTACAAATTAATGCTTTCAAACACATAGGTTTTTTATGCACCCGGTAGTCCATATGTAGTCAAATAGTTTGTTACGCTTTCAATATATTGTAACAAATAATTGAAGTATGAAATAAAAATAAAATTATAAATTAATGACCACGTAGAAATAATTTCTAACATTTGATGAGAAACTTTGGCCACAATTATGTTCACTACACGTGAATGGCCTGTCATTTGAATGAATGTTTTTTATATGAAATTTTAGATTTGGTTTTGTGGCAAAACTTTTATCGCAGTCATCGATGTGGCAAATAAATAGCTTTTCACCCGAATGTATGCGTTTGTGTTGAAAAGTTGAGGTTTTGCTGCAAAACTTTTGTAACAGTTTTCTTCATTACATTTGTATTTCTTTTCATTCAAATGAACAGTACTTTTGTGTTCATTTAAACTAGATTTTGTTGCAAATTGTTGCATGTAGGTCAAATTTGTCTATTTTATTATATATATATATTTCAACTTACACTGATTAAATAACTAAATTATGTTATTTTGTAATCAAATCTAATTAGCATTAAGCTATTTACAAATTACAGTGTATAGTACACAATAGAATTTAATTACACTGTAATTTGTAAATAGCTTAATGCTAATTAGATTTGATTACAAAATAACATAATTTAGTTATTTAATCAGTGTAAGTTGAAATATATATATATAATAAAAATTAAATATAAATTTTCATCTATTTTCAAAAATTGAAGGAATTTTGATTTAAAATGTTTGTACGGATAATATGTGCGATTGTATTGACCATAACATTAGGCGCATGTCAGGAGCCTGTCATCTGTCCGGATCATAAACTACTGGAGCCGTGCTATTGTAATCGTTATTGTTTGGATAAGTTTGATTACAAGCTGGGACTCAAATGCAACTCGAGCGCCGTAACTGACCTTGCTCCCATATTTGCTAACATGAAAAGTCTACCACAAAAGCAAAAGTCATTTGAAAACTTGGTTATGAAGGGCACTAATATCACGCGGATTAATGCCAATACTTTCGGTGACATTACTTTCAAAAACATTGATATATTTTCCGACCACTCATTGAAAGTGATTGATGTGAACGCCTTTCACGGGATTGCCGATCGGGTGAGTTGGCTCACCATTTTGGACACACCTAACCTGGATCATAATGCCACTGATATATTCGCTATAATTAGGCAATTTTCAAACATAACTAATGTATTTCTAGATAACACTAATTTAGCACATATTCCGAGCAATGCTTTCAATGGATTAAATAATTTGGAATATATTGGCATTCGGGACAAACATTTGACAACAATTAGTGAAAAACCTTTTTATGGATTAAATTCCTTAAAAGATATTAGGATTTCGGGGACCAGTATTACACGTATTCAAGAAAATGTGTTGACATTCAGTCCCACTATCGATGAACTTGGAATTCAATTTATATCCAATGTATATCTAAATAGTTCGTCATTTGATAGCCAATCACTCAGTCGCTTTATACGCTACGAGTGAAGGCATACAAAATGGGACCAAATCAACGAAAATGTGGACCTATTTGGATGAGAAGGCATTCAAAGGATTTTTCGCGTCTCATACCAACAATTCAATGAATTTTTCTTTCAATCATATCGATTGTGATGATAGCCGTAACCAATGGTTTCTAAATGATCCTGGAGTTATGGGCAGAATATTTTGTATCTATGGAGAAGTAATTAATTGCCCAAAAAATAACAAGCAGATTTAAAATAACTTTATCCAACTGTCATTATAACAAAAGCAATAGGGAATGTATATGACTCATATAATATTGTATGAGGACAATTTTTTTGATAAATTGATACTAGGTCACAAATAAATTCAAAAACAAAATTATTAGATTATATTATCTAAACCGATTTCCAAAAAATTGTTGTTTATATCTATTTATAAATTTTAAGAGTTTTATTGTAATTAATAATTGAAATCTAATTTTGTATACTCATCAAGTATCTATTCATAGTTTAGTACCTATTTTAAAACTTATTATTCAGGATCAATTTTTTGGTGTTAAAAATATTTTATAAAATCAAATAATATTCACCTTGATAAGTGTGAATTTATTGAGTGCAGCGAACCCTCCGATAGTGAACCCATGGGTTCACTATCGGAGGGTTCGCT